TAGAGGTTAGAGTGGTGGGGAAAAGGGAGACATCTTAATTAGGTACAGCTGTTATTTCAGCTAGTTTGTGAATGGAGAGAAACTAGGGTATCTGTTGGAGCAATCAAACCTGTGACGTTTCTTGAGGACCTTCCTGCCTCTGAGAACCGGGTGATTGTGTTTCATAGCACCGTCAGGCTGTAGGTATAGATGAGAATTTGGCTCAGCTATAATTTAAAGGGAGTTTAGTCTCTCTTTACTTTATGTTCCTGTTGTATTTCACTTTCTTCCCATATGACTTACATATTTCCTCCTCCCTGGCTCTCCATATAGAGCTCAGATTTGAAAAATTTGGTCCTGAGGCACTGACAAAAATAGAAGCCAGCAAAAGGCGTGACAACGTGTGTATGCTTTTGCCACCCATCCACTAACCCACCTGCAACTGAAATCAAATATTCTATCTCCTTCTCTTCCTCCTCCTTTTTGCTTTGAATGAATTTCACATCACTCATTACTTCAGCACTTCTCCTTTTCTCTTATGCTGATAATTTTTTCTCTGCTGGATTTTTCATTCTACTTTCTATATCTTTTCTCATCTTGTAAAAAAGCCTCTTGACTTCACATTTCCTTTGCTTCCTCAGATAACACTGACGAACTACTGCTTGCCTTTCCAGTTCCTACTCTTAACCCACTTCAGTTAGGTTTTGCTTCCATGACTCCAGAATAACAACCCTTTTCAAGGTCAACAGTGCCCTCTGTGGTGCTAAACCTAGTTGTTGTCCTCGGTCCTCACCTTAGTTAGTCTGTCAGCAGCATTTGACACTGTGATAATTCCCTTTTCATTCATGGGGTTTGCACTGTGTGCCTCTGCCCTTGCTGACTGCTGCGTCTCAGCAGCTTTTGCAAATTCCTTCTGGTAAGTTAACTTCCAGATATTTGAGAGCCCCAGGGCTCTATGCTCAGACTTCTCTGGCTGTACTCACTACCTATGATAGGCATTTCATTTAGTCCCAGAGCTTTCAATGCCCTCTGCTGCTGATTTAAAAAAATTTTCTAGCCTGGCCCCTTCCCCTAAACAGTATAGATTTTATATCCAATTGCTCATTCACCTTTTCCACCAGAATGAATGATAGGTGTCTTAATTTTCTCATTACTGAGACAAAACACCCAACACCAAAGTTAAAGGAGAAAAGGTTTATTTCGGGTCACAGTTTGTAGAGGTTTCAGTCCATTGTTGGCTGGCTTTAAGGCAGGGTGGCATGGCAGAGGGTTATCAAAGAGGAGAAAGAGTTCACGGCAGGCAGAAGGCAGCAAGAGAGCAAGCAGCAAGCTATAAGTAACAAGCAATGACCGTCTTTCTGTTCCTTATATCCTATACAGACTACCCATCCTTCGGACAGGTTATACTCACACCCATTGTGGGGCAGCCTTAATCTAGCATTGAACATTAATCAGTCCCAGCATCACACACCCTAGATCCATCCACGTTCCAAAAGCCCCACCTATGACCACATGAGGGTTTAGGGGAATATCGATATAGTCCATAACAATAGGTATTTCAAGTCAACAGTGCTTATTTGTCTCTAACTACTCCTTTTGTAATCTTTTCTGACTCAGGAAATGGCACCCGTCTTTCTGACTTCTCAGGCCGGGAACTTTGTGTTCATCATTGCAAATCTTGTCAGGTCTGCCTTCAGAACAGACCCAGAACTCAATCACTTTTCAGACCTCCACTGTACAGGTCTGGGTGACGTCTCTTCTGGATTGCTGCAGTACATTCTTATGTCTCCCTGCTTCTGTCGTTGTCCCTTCTAGCTATTTTCTGTGTAACAGTTAAATTGAGTCTTTGGGCCTGTGTCCAATTGTTTCGCCCATGTTCAGAACCCTGTAGTGGATTCCCATCCCACTCAGGATCAACTCCAACACATTAGTTACTGTGTGTGAGAGCTAGCATTGATACAGAGTCCTGTGTGACTGGGCTCCCGACACTCCCTGTCCTACTCAGTTCTTCCTCCTTGGGGTGTGAACACGCTGGAATGGAGCTGGAGCCTCCTGCCTCAGACCTGTGACTGGCCTGTCTTCTCCACTGCACTCACTTCCTCCTCGAGGTCTGCATATCGTGCTCTTTTCTCACATAGCTCTTTCCTCAGATGTCACCTTCTGGATGAGGCACACTCCCTGCTGCTGCTGTAGTGCCTGCTATCCTGCACTAGCCATTATTTGACAGTGCAGCTTCATTATTTATGTCTGATTATTCTGTATTGTTATTTCCCCCCACTGGAATGTGTACTTCACGAGGGCAGTGACTTTGTTCTCTGCGTGTCTCCACTTCTAAGAATGCGTAGTTTCTGATGAGCATACAAATACTTCTTGAGTGAATGCGTTTCAGTCAGTGTCTGTCATACATATTTGTCATCTACTCTCTCTGACTTGAACCTTATAATTTATTGTTTTGCTGCTCCATCTTCTTTCCGTTGCTCTTTGGCCCTGCTCAGATCTCCTTACATTATTGACCATTTCCCCCTTATCCTCAGTTCTTTTTAGAAGCCCCCCACCATTTACATTTCTGTACCAACAACTGAACATTGTCTTGTCTAGCCAGTGTTCCTAACCAGTCCTTAGGCTTCCCGCCAGTGGTCTTAGATGCTCTTGGCTCTAGTCACTGTTGTCATTCTCCCATGTGAGCTGGGAGAATCTTGATAGCTCTAGGAGCTTCCTCCATTCTTGCTAGAGGGGAAAGGGCTCATCTAGTTATTTGCCAGATGATGCCATTGTACAGGGAGTGTTTACTTCCTAGGTCCAAAGTCTTTCTCAGTCATAAGGCCACCAGCTCATCCTCCGAAATCCACACTTGAGGTGCTCTCTGGAACGTATATTTGAAAGTCTTCAAAATTTTTTTCCCACGGTTCATACGCTCTAGTAAACCTTTATTTTTAACATACATGGTCTTTTATGTAGTATGGTCTTCTGTTCTTTGACCTTTATTCTAGTTTTTTTTTCCTTCGGTATCGGGGATTGAACTTAGGACCTTGCGCTTATGAGGTAGGTGCAGTGCCACTGAGCCAAATCCTCGGCCCTGACCTATTCTGTTTTGCTGTTCTTTAACCTATCCTATTTTTCCCAGAACTGACAGAAATAAAATGAGACTTAAATACTATGATTTAAAAATGAGCAGAGGACCTGAATAAACATTTCTCAAAAGAAATATAAAAGGCTAGTAGGTATAAGAAAATGTATTCAACATCATTTATCAGCAGAATGAGATTTCACCTTATACCTGTTGGAATGACTGTTATAAAAAAGACAAAAGATAAAAGTGTTGGTGAAGATGTGGAGAAAAAGGAGCCTTTGTATATTGTTGGAACTACAGATTAGTTCAGGCGTTATGTCAAATAATGCGGAGGTTCTCTCACCCCCCAAATAAAAAACAAAACTTGCAAATGACCCACCATTCCCACGACTGGGTTCACATCCAAAGGAAATGAATCAGTGTGTCAAAGAGACATCTGTATTCAGATGTTTACTGCAGCAGCATTAAATCTGGGGTCCAGTAGTGGGTAACGGATAAAGCAACATAAATGTCCATTAGTGGATAAATGGGTAAAGAAAATGTGGTGTATGTGTAAATGGGGATACTCCTTAGCCTTAGTAAAATAATGAAACCCTGTCATTCGCAACAGTATGGATAAACCTGTAGGATATTGTGCTAAGTTAAATATGCCAGGCATAGAAAGACAAACTGGCACGATCTCATTTCTGTGTGGAATCTAAAGAAGTTTCTGTGTGAAACTCCTAGAAGTTGAGAATAGAATGATAGTTGTCAGGGGCCAGGGTGAGAGCCAGAGGATAGAGTAGAAACTAGTCAAAAGGTAAAACATTTCATTGAGACGGGCGGAGGGTGTGTGTGTGAGGGGGAGTAAGTTCAAGAGGTCTGCCATGCAGTATGGTGATTATAGCTAATAATGGTGTGTGGTACTTTGAAAAAAATGATTAGATTTTAAGTGTTCTTATCACAGAAAGGATAAGTACGTTATGTAATATGCATGTTAATTGTTAATTAGCTAATTGAGCCATTCCAGGATGTGTGCGTAGTTCAGCACATCATGTTGTATACAGTAAGTATATACAGTTTTTACTTGTCAGTTAATTTTAAAAATGGAATTAATTTTAATATTTTGCAGGACTCTTTGTTCAACTCCTGCTTATTTTGATATGTGGTATATGTATTGAAAAATGATTATATTCCTTCCCCCAGCAAATTTGTGATGCCTCTGTTAAACTTTTATGCAGTAGACTCTGTTTTATTTATCTGTCTGCTTTTGGTGTCAGCACACTGTTACTGAGGCTTTTAGTTATGTTTCAGTATTTAGTAAGGGTAATGGTTTCTCTTTTTTTTTTTCAGAATTGTTGGTGATGGTCTGTTTCTTTACACTTCTGTGTGATTTTGAAAAATCTTTAGTCAAGTTATAAAAAGAAAAATCTCCATTGGGTTTTTTTTCCTAGAAGAATATTAAACTGGGCTAACTGATGAGTTCATATAAATTAATATTTTATCAAAATTTTTACTTTTTTTTCCTTTAAGTTCTTTTATTGGTACATTTTAGTTATACAGTAGGTTTACATTTATCATTGGGTGCTTGTACCTGTACATGATGTATCTTGGTTCTTATTTTTTCCCCATTACCTGTGCACCCTTCACCCCCTCCACC